GTCCACTAGGTAGGGGATGTGGTCCACCAAGTAGGGGTTGTGGTCCATTAGGTAGGGGATTTGGTCCACTAGGTAGGGTGTGTGGTCCACTATGTAGGGGGTGTGGTCCACTAGGTAACGGTTGTGGTCCATTAGGTAGGAGGTGTGGTCCGCTAGGTAGGGGGTGTAGTCCACTAGGTAGTTGATGTGGTCCACTAGGTAGTTGATGTGGTCCACTAGGTAGTTGATGTGGTCCACTAGGTAGGGGATGTGGTCCACTAGGTAAGGGATGTGGTCCACTAGGTAGGGGATGTGGTCCACTAGGTAGGGGATATGGTCCACTAGGTAGGGGATATGGTCCACTAGGTAGGGGATATAGTCCACTAGGTAGTTGATATGGTCCACTAGGTAGTTGATATGGTCCACTAGTTAGGGGATGTGGTCCACTAGGTAGGGGATGTGGTCCACTAGGTAAGGGATGTGGTCCACTAGGTAAGGGATGTGGTCCACTGGGTAGGGGATGTGGTCCACTAGGTAGTTGATGTGGTCCACTAGGTAGGGGATGTGGTCCACTAGGTAGGGGATGTGGTCCACTAGGTAAGGGATGTGGTCCACTAGGTAGGGGATATGGTCCACTAGGTAGGGGATATGGTCCACTAGGTAGGGGATATGGTCCACTAGGTAGCTGATATGGTCCACTAGGTAGTTGATGTGGTCCACTAGGGATGTGGTCCACTAGGTAGTTGATGTGGTCCACTAGGTAGGGGAGATGGTCCACTAGGTAGTTAATGTGGTCCACTAGGTAAGGGATGTGGTCCACTAGGTAGGGGATGTGGTCCACTAGGTAATTGATGTGATCCAATAGGTAGGGGATGTGGTCCACTAGGTAGTTGATGTGGTCCACTAGGTAGGGGATATGGTCCACTAGGTAGTTGATATGGTCCACTAGGTAGGGGATGTGGTCCACTAGGTAGGGGATGTGGTCCACTAGGTAGGGGATGTGGTCCACTAGGTAGGGGGTGTGGTCCACTAGGTAGTTGATGTGGTCCACTAGGTAGGGGGTGTGGTCCACTAGGTAGTTGATGTGGTCCACCAAGTAGGAATTGTGGTCCATTAGGTAGGGGATTTGGTACACTAGGTAGGGGGTGTGGTCCACTATGTAGGGGGTGTGGTCCACTAGGTAACGGTTGTGGTCCACTAGGTAACGGTTGTGGTCCATTAGGTAGGGGGTGTGGTCCACTAGGTAGGGGGTGTAGTCCACTAGGTAGTTGATGTGGTCCACTAGGTAGGGGATGTGGTCCACTAGGTAAGGGATGTGGTCCACTAGGTAGGGGATGTGGTCCACTAGGTAGGGGATATGGTCCACTAGGTAGGGGATATGGTCCACTAGGTAGGGGATATGGTCCACTAGGTAGTTGATATGGTCCACTAGGTAGTTGATATGGTCCACTAGTTAGGGGGTGTGGTCCACTAGGTAAGGGATGTGGTCCACTAGGTAAGGGATGTGGTCCACTGGGTAGGGGATGTGGTCCACTAGGTAGGGGATGTGGTCCACTAGGTAGGGGATGTGGTCCACTAGGTAAGGGATGTGGTCCACTAGGTAGGGGATATGGTCCACTAGGTAGGGGATATGGTCCACTAGGTAGCTGATATGGTCCACTAGGTAGTTGATGTGGTCCACTAGGTAGGGGATGTGGTCCACTAGGTAGTTGATGTGGTCCACTAGGTAGTTGATGTGGTCCACTAGGTAGGGGATATGGTCCACTAGGTAGTTAATGTGGTCCACTAGGTAAGGGATGTGGTCCACTAGGTAGGGGATGTGGCCCACTAGGTAATTGATGTGATCAAATAGGTAGGGGATGTGGTCCACTAGGTAGTTGATGTGGTCCACTAGGTAGAGGATATGGTCCACTAGGTAGTTGATATGGTCCACTAGGTAGGGGATTTGGTCCACTAGGTAGGGGATATGGTCCACTAGGTAGGGGATGTGGTCCACTAGGTAGGGGATGTGGTCCACTAGGTAGGGGGTGTGGTCCACTAGGTAGTTGATGTGGTCCACTAGGTAGTTGATGTGGTCCACTAGGTAGGGGAGATGGTCCACTAGGTAGGGGATATGGTCCACTAGGTAGGGGATGTGGTCCACTAGGTAGGGGATGTGGTCCACTAGGTAGGGGATGTGGTCCACTAGGTAGTTGATGTGGTCCACTAGGTAGGGGGTGTGGTCCACTAGGTAGTTGATGTGGTCCACTAGGTAGGGGGTGTGGTCCACTAGGTAGGCGATGTGGTCCACTAGGGATGTGGTCAACATCATCCCAGCCATCCTTACTTCAGAGGATATTTACCTGGCATATATTTTAGACTGGGTTGACCAGTTCAGCCACTGATGACAAATGCAATGGAAACATGCAAGATCCGCAGTAAATAATATATAGTTAATGCAGGAAACAAAACTGCATACCTGCCCGGTGATTTATAAGTGAATAAAAAACAAAAAGAGTGGTGCAGAATTATTAGAGAGATTGAGTACTCTAATGAAGCTGGTTAACACAAGAGACAGACATATTGCAAGTAGTGCCAAACAATGTATGAAAGGAAAAATAGAATGGATGTAAAACTCATCATTGAAGATGGTTCCAGTCTAGTTTCCCCTATCTTTTGTTTTGAAATTGTCTCAGTTTTACCTAAATATTCTAAAAGAAACAGTCAATACTAGTTATAGACAATTTCTTGACAACAACAAAATAATAAAAAACATGTACACATTGCTGTTTACAAAACAAAATTTACTTATGATGTCAATTTGTAAACCACAGTCTCGCAAATTCAGGTTAAATGTTCCATGTCTACAGCGACACCTAACTTCAGTACCAATCACAATATTACATTTACAGGGCCAATAACTAAAGTACTAATCGTGCTAAGTTTACAAGGGCAACTAACTACACTACTAGCCACACTGTCATATTTTTAGAGGCAACTAATTGCAGTACCAATCACAATGTTATCTTCACAAGGAAAATGACTGAATTACCAAGTGCACTGAGTTTACAAGAGCAACTATGTTAAAAGCCACACTGTTATGTTTACAGGGGCAGTTAACTACGGTACTAGCCATGCTCTTATGTTTACACAGACAACTAAGTGCAGTACTCATCAATCTGTAATGTTTACAGAGATAAATAACTGCGGTAAAAGTCACAATGTAATGTTTACAGGGAAAATAATCATACTAATAACACAAGGGCAACTAACTACACTACTGGCCATACTGTTATGTTTATAGGAGCAACTAACTGCAGTACCAATTACAATGTTATGTTTATAGGAGCAACTAACTGCAGTACCAATTACAATGTTATGTTTACAAGGAAAATAACTGAATTACCAAGCAGGGGCAACTAACTATGCTACTAGCCACAGTGTTATGTTTACAGGGGAAACTAACTATAGTACTAGTCACACCATAATGTTTATAGGGGAAACTAACTATAGTACTAGTCACACCATAATGTTTATAGGGGAAACTAACTATAGTACTAGTCACACCATAATGTTTATAGGGGAAACTAACTATAGTACTAGTCACCCCATAATGTTTATAGGGGAAACTTACTATAGTACTAGTCACACCATAATGTTTATAGGGGAAACTAACTATAGTACTAGTCACACCATAATGTTAACAGGGGAAACTAACTATAGTACTAGTCACACCATAATGTTTACAAGGGAAACTAACTATAGTACTAGTCACACCATAATGTTTATAGGGGAAACTAACTATAGTATTAGTCACACCATAATGTTTATAGGGGAAACTAACTATAGTACTAGTCACACCATAATGTTTATAGGGGAAACTAACTATAGTACTAGTCACACCATAATGTTTATAGGGGAAACTAACTATAGTACTAGTCACACCATAATGTTTATAGGGGAAACTAACTATAGTACTAGTCACACCATAATATTAACAGGGGAAACTAACTATAGTACTAGTCACACCATAATGTTTATAGGGGAAACTAACTATAGTACTAGTCACACCATAATGTTTATAGGGGAAACTAACTATAGTACTAGTCACACCATAATGTTTTTAGGGGAAACTAACTATAATTCTAGTCACACCATAATGTTTATAGGGGAAACTAACTATAGTACTAGTCACACCATAATGTTAACAGGGGAAACTAACTATAGTACTAGTCACACCATAATGTTTATAGAGGAAACTAACTATAGTACTAGTCACACCATAATGTTTACAGGGGAAACTAACTATAGTACTAGTCACATTGTAATGTTAACAGGGGAAACTAACTATAGTACTAGTCACATTGTAATGTTAACAGGGAAAACTAACTATAGTACTAGTCACACCATAATGTTTACAGGGGAAACTAACTATAGTACTAGTCACACCATAATGTTTATAGGGGAAACTAACTATAGTACTAGACACATTGTAATGTTTATAGGGGAAACTAACTATAGTACTAGTCACATTGTAATGTTAACAGGGAAAACTAACTATAGTACTAGTCACACCATAATGTTTATAGGGGAAACTAGCTATAGTACTAGTCACACCATAATGTTTATAGGGGAAACTAACTATAGTACTAGTCACACTGTAATATTTACAGGGGAAACTAACTATAGTACTAGTCACACTGTAATGTTTACAGGGAAAACTAACTATAGTACTAGTCACACTGTAATGTTTACAGGGAAAACTAACTATAGTACTAGTCACACGGTAATGTTTACAGGGGAAACTAACTATAGTACTAGTCACACTGTAATGTTTACATGGAAAACTAACTATAGTACTAGACACATTGTAATGTTAACAGGAAAAACTAACTATATTACCAGTCACACCATGATGATTACAGGGAAACTAATTGCAGTACCAAACATACTGTTCTGTTCACAAAAGCATGTATATTCTCACAAGGAGCCAATGATCCTGTCATTCTTCAATAATGTATCAGAAGTTTCTACATTATAAATTATAATTGGAGAGTTCTATAATCTCCTTTTGGAAGCATCTGGTTGAGGCAATCGATGTGGTTCCATATCACGGTCGAGATCGTAGAAACTGAAGGGATTGAAAGTGTAGTACGATTCTCCAGCCCTGTAGGTGTCCCCTTGTCCGGCTCAGCCGCAGGTGCTGGAGATTTCAAATCATTTTTGTTTTTAATTGGTCAAGCATGTATTTACATTTAAAGTTATTTGCGTATCCTTTCTCAGGACGTTACAGAACCAACCCCAGCATTTTTTTGGCTGTTGTGGTTTTTCTAGGCAAATTTTACATTCAGTAAAGTGTCACTGCTTGGGTCAGCTCTTGGTACTACTGTTGAAACCAACGCAAGACAAATTGTCCGCAGCTGGGATCGAACACGGCACACAGGCATTACGAATGGGGTTCACAACATGTAAGCCACAGATGTCGACATGTATTTCCATACCCACTACATAATGACTTAATTACGGCTGGCATTGGAGATTCCCTGTAAGTCTGTTTTAAAGATAGTGCGTGTAGACCATACCTTCTCTTTGAGTCTACATGCAGGGAAAGGTTCTGTAGATAAAAATTCTCCACACATTTGCAATGGCACACACTTCAAACACTCATCCTAAATTAAGTGTACTTCTTCTTCGCGTTTTAGCAGCTGGAAATTCCTGTGGAGATTTCTGAGTGTTCGTCCACCTCCGGACTTTGTCTTGTTCAAGAACCTGAGTGTTGTGTGCACATCCCTTTCACAGATCTGGCTGACTCTTGGTTCCTTGCCTCTTAGCCAGATGTACACCGACTTCAAAGAATGGCCACAGTTATACAACTACTACGACATGCTTTTTTGGGTAGGCTGTGGGTCTATTCTTGTTTTTCCCATAATAGGGCCCAGGAACCCACACGGGGATGCTTTGAGTGTTGTGTGCACATTAGTTTCATAGATCTGGCTTACTCTTGGTTCGTTGCCTCTCAGCCAGATGTACACCGAGTTCGAAAAAAAGCCACAATTATTCGATACTAGGACATGCTTACTGGGGAGGCAGTGGGTCTTTTTTAGTTTTCCTATAATCTTGCGTTGGGAAATCTGTGTACTATTGCCAGTTGGAAAATAAAAAACACATAAAATAATATGTTGTGGAAACTTGCTGACGTCCTTCCGCTTCTTCTTAGCATTCACCAGTTTGTAATTTCCAGAGAAAAGTTATGGTTGTCCATCAACTTCTGAAATGTGATCTTATTCCAAAACTTGAGTTTGCGTTTACATCCATTTACATTTTAAAAATAAAGACTTTTTTTTTTATGCAGACTGTTAGTTCCTTGCCTTTTATGCAGACTGTTAGTTCCTTGCCTTTTATGCAGAAGCATTCAAACTTTGAAGGAAACACATCAAATTAGTCGACTTTCACAACATGCTTGTAAAAGGTAGGGAAAAGGGGGGGGGGGCAATAAATAAGTGGGTCAATTTTTTATTCCGCAAAATAGGGCCCCAGCACCCACACAGGGATGTGCTAGCATACACTGATCGCTGGCCACACTACAGCTATTTTCCACTTTGCATTATATTTTATTTCAAAGACAGTAAACAGAAGCTTATTTTTTTGTGATTGATATTACACAATAACTGCTGTTCAACATAATTGAGAGCGGCACCAAGAAAATACTTCAGAACTCCTGTGTAGTCAAGATGTACTGGATTTAAATCACTGTTTTAAAGGGTATTAATAAACAAATTCTAATATTCCTCAACTCTCTATTTGTCTCAAAGACATTTCTCCTGTTATTTCTACAAGGCTTTCTCCTTTTTCTTCTTTAGTGTTTACTGGCAGTAAACTCTGGCAAAAAAATCTAGTAGCTTGTCCATTTCTGGACTTTGGACTTGTTTCAGAACTTGAGTTTTGCATGCACATCCGTTCAACAGATCTGGCTTAATTATATGCAGAGTGTTGGTTCATCGTCTCTCCGGCAGACGTATTCTTCGAGAATGTCCCTAACTAGTCACCTTTTATGACATGCTTGTTTGGAAGAGGGAGAGAGCAGTGGATTTATTCCTTTTTCCTCTAAAACAGGACACTGGAACCAACACAAGGAGCTGAGGCTTTCAAATTAGATCAATTATCTTCTTCTTCTTCTTTGAGTTCACCAGCTGTAAACTCTGGTGGAAAGTTCTGGTTGTTCATCCCCTTCTGGACTGCAGTCCTGTTCCAGAACAAAATCGTTTGCATTCGTTTGACAGATCTAACACATTTGTGTGCAGACTGTTGGTTCCTTGCCTCTCGGGCAGATGCACTCTGACTTCGAAGGAAGCTCCCAATTAGTCGACTCTTACGACATGCTTTTGGGTAGGCAGTGGGTCTATTTTTGTTTTCCCTATTACAGGGCTCCGGAACCCACACAGGGGTGATCAATTATGAATCTGTCCTTACAGAATTGTGTGCTATCAATGGTGGCTACAGGAAAGTTTTAATAAGAGTTGAGAAACAAAGGCATCTTTCCCAGACCAGACATTACGTAATGCACGTGCTAAGATTTTATTTCACTCATTTCAGAGAATTAAATAACTAAAGCACATTAATTCCACGTGAACTAATATTTGTAATATTTACCGCTGTCTCATAACTTAAACCTGACCAACTACTATGCTATTACATGATAGAGAAAAATTGAAAAACACAATAATGTGTGTGAAAATACTGTTTTGCAGTGGAAAATATTTAGCAGCAAGTACGGAAATAACCCAGCATGATCCTGACCACATTATCCACTAGTGCTGACTGGTCTATACAATTAGGTCTAGCCCTATATGCCCAAAATCCCTGAAGGTGTGGGGAAAAGGGTCCTTTACTCTACTTACTTCATGTGATGTGGGAGAAACAATAGGGAAAAAAACCAAATCATATGAAAGAAATCAAGGGAAACAACAGAAACATGGCCAGAAATCAACAGAAATAATTAATGCTATACCTGATTCTCTTTTCACCTCTTTCTTGGGTTCTTTAGGTGGTGATTTAGGAGTTTTTGGCTTCGTCGATGTATCTGAGCTCGAGTCCTGGGAAGCAGTCCTCACATTACAGATATTCTGGCAAGAAGACACGTCAAAGCCACTGATTAATAATGTTTGAAAATATTCATAGACACCATCTACATCTGAGGAAATCTATGAACATAAAATGGGATAAATTCAAGAAAAGGGATGAAACCGAAAAACAACCACTGGCATCAACAGAGACAAGAGAACATCAAAGACAAAGAAAAAGGCAATTTACTGGACATATAATCAGAAGAAGCGAGCAGAGAATAACAAAACAGGCACTTAAACGATGAACTCCCTGTGTGGGTTCCGGGGCTCCATTATGGGGAAAACAAGAACAGACCCACTGACTAACCAACAAGCATGTCGTAGAAGTTGACTAATTAAGGGCTTCCTTTGAAGTTAGACTACATGTGCCTGAGAGGCAAGGAACCATCTGTCTGCATAGAAATAAGTCAGTAAAATGGTTGTGTGAATGTAACACTGAGCTTCTGGGACTAAAGTCCAGAGGTGGACGAACATCCAGAACTTGCCACCGGAGTTTACAGCCATGAACGCAAAAAAAGAACAAGAAGAAGAAGTTTAAAATATTTATATACACAAGCCATACCTAAGCAAATCAATAAAGATTAAATGGGATGAATTTTAAAAAGTGAAGAAAAAAAACGAAAAATATCTGGACAACTACAGACATCAACAGTTAACAAGACAAAGATTGTGGCAATAGACTGGGAACATAATGAGAAGAAGTGAGCAGAGACTCACTAAAAAGCACTTAAATGGCAAACAGATGGACTGTGGAAGTTTAAGAGAAACCCTACAACGAATACTGCTCAGGGAACCAAAAGAAAACAAAAAAGAAAAGACCCAATACCTCCCTAACAAGCATGTCCTAAAAGTCAACTAATTAGGGGTTTCCTTCTATGTCAGAGTACATCTGCGTGAGAAAAGAAACCAACAGTCTGCATACAAACAAGCCAGATCTGCAAAAAAGGATGTGCAAGCAAGACTCATGTTCAGGAACAATACCAAAGTCCAGAAGTGGATGAACAACATGAACTTTCCGCTGGAGTTTACAGCCGGTGAACATCAACAAGAAAAAGCATTTCATCCACAAGAAAAGGATTAAACTGCACAGGATAGACAGAAATGAAAAGGACTAGACTATGAGCCCAGTGTGACGTAAGACAGCATAACATGAAGATAGTGGTTTATAAAGCCATGAAGTTGCATGGTGTTAAAGAGATAAGAGAGAGAGAGGCTGGCAGGGAATACAAAACCTGGTTGGGTTCTTCTTCACTTTCTTCCTCCGGTTCAGAAGGCTAAGAAGATTAACAAGCATTTGTACCATGAGCTGTCCATGAAGTGTACAGATAATGGCTTCAAGAACAAGTGTGTACTGATGGAGTTCATCCACAAGAGAAAGGCTGAGAAGTCCAGATCCAAGATCCTTAGTGACCAGGCTGAGGCTCAGAAATAGAAGGTAAAGAGGTTATCGCATAGGTAAACAGTGCATTGCACAGAAAAGAGAAGATAGTTCCAGCTCAAGATTTGTTTAAAAACATTGAAGAAATAAATAATAGTAAAGTATGTTAAAGTATTTTTTATTATGTTTTAAAAAATTAATTATAATGGATTATCTCAAAATCTACTATACGCATCTTTGAGATCAAGCAGTGCCTTCATCATTTTCTGTTTGTTCTAGACCCTTCAACATCAAAGGCAAAGGTGACTGCAGTTGACTAGGTATGTATATCTTGTCCTGGCCTGCTGCTCCCCAGACCTCTTGGGATAAGCTACCCCCTTTCGAAAAATGGTTGCAGCTTGACAGTGTATTTTGTAAGGTGATAATTCTAGAGCCACTAGCTTTGAATGATCCTGTGCATCTAATCCTGTGTTACTCTTGATATCCTAACACTAATCTAATATTACTAATAATATGCCGTCGGTTATCTCCCTCAGGTCTACATATGTCTCAAATGCCTTCATATATATGGCCATACCCAACCCCTATCTCAGAACACACCGCTATATTGAGAAAACTTATTCTGAAACATTGAAACTCCTAACAAACATACCCCAGTCAGTCTGGTGACGGCAGGAGTCCAGATTCTGCCACAACCTCGCACAACTTGGAAGTAAGCTGAAGACATTCTTTCTGCACGACCGCAACCAGAAGTCACCTTAACCCTCCGTACAATCATCATTTCGTTTTATTATTAAAACGGTCCTACTACCCTTTACATAGCTGCTGACGTATTTGGTAGAATGATATGTAGTATAACAATAATCCAAGCTGTACCTTATCTTAAAGGTAACTGTACGAGAGAAGCTACACATCGACAAATGGTTCAATTTCTCATGACCAAATATAAGGAACTGAGGTCATAAATACAGAAAACAGTGCCGTATGAATTAAAGAATTCAATTAGTTGCAATCGATATACTTTGGCCTAAACATTAATTTTTTTTTTAAAGTTAGTTGCGTATCCTTTACAGGACTTTACAGAACCAGCCCCAGCATTTTTTGACAGTTGTGGATTTTTTTGGCAAATTCTAAGTTCATATAATTAGGCCCATCAACAAGGTTAGTTGCGTATCCTTTACAAGACGTTGCAGAACCACGACCGGCTCCAGCTGACGGGCCGTGCTGCTGGCGTCACCGGGTCGGGCTAACAATGCATCAATGCAGCGATTCTCAAACTGGGTGCCGATGCACCCTGGGGTTCCGTGAGCGTATGCCAGGGGTGTCGCGGCAATAATAAAGAAAAGTCCGCTAAAAGTTGTGAAATTATTAAAGAAGGTATGTAGATACTTAAAAGTTAAAGTGTAATTTGTCTTTTCTCGCCGCTGTCGGAAATAGTTTTTTTTTTCTTGTTTCTTATTTGAGAACTGCTGCGTTAACGCATGGCTAGCCCGACCCGGTGACATCAGCAGCACGGCCCGTCAGCTGGAGCAGGTCGTGGCAGAACCAACCCCAACAGCCCCTGACTGTTGTGTGGTTTATCTAAGCAATTTACGTCCAGTAGTTTGCCATTGCTTTCTAGACGGTCAGCTTTCTTGATACCACTGTCGAAACCAACGCAAGGTGCATGACCCGCGGCTGGGATCGAACCTGGCATCACGGCATTACGAAGCGTCCCCATCAACAAACATCGGTAAAAAGCTTTGAAACAATCATAAAAAAAATATATGACAAGAAGTATTATTTTTTTAAAGCACCATTCTTGAAAAAAAAAGTTTTCGGTCAATATATAAGGAAAAAGACACATAAGTATCACAAATACAGTTAATTGTTAATGACGAATATCCTCACATAACGACCCTAATTATAACCTTTTTATGCTGAACATGCGTGGATTTGTTATCGTAGTATGGAGCGTCGCAGGTCGACCATGACTAAAATGGGTACCTCAGTGTATGTACCTGAATGTGTGTGTGTGTGTGTGTATATATATATATATATATATATATATATATATATATATATATATATATATATATATATAGTGTGTCTAGAAGTACATGCATGGGTTTGTAGGAGAGTGCATGAGTAGGTATGAATTAGAATATGGGTGTGTGTGGGCGTCTCATCCGAAGTTGTCTCCACCTTGCCGTAGTGGGCGAGCTTGTGTTTCTCAACGACCCGCGAGAGCTATGCCGGTGATAGCGTAGCTAACAGCAGGGCCTCCCAAGCCGGAAAGATCGAAGGGTAGAAAACAGACCAAGAGAGACACACTGGTCTCTCGGTTAGGGCCGACACCCACACTGGCATCATGAAGTTGTCTCCACCTTGCCGTAGTGGGGGAGCTTGTGTTTCTCAACGACCCGCGAGAGCTATGCCGGCGATAGCGTAGCTAACAGCAGGGCCTCCCAAGCCGGAAAGATCGAAGGGTAGAAAACAGACCAAGAGAGACACACTGGTCTCCCGGTTAGGGCCGACACCCACACTGGCATCATGAGAGCTAATAGACTGAAATGGTTGAGACATATTGAGAGAATGTCAGATGACAGAGAAGTGAAAACTGTATATAGAAGGTAGATAAATAGTCGTAGACCATAAGGCAGACCAAGAAGACAGTGGAGAGATAATGTTTAGATACCTGCAAACACTTGGTGTCTCCTAACAGCATATTTGGATCTGGTGATGAAACATTCTCCCCAGCTGACAGTCACTGTCACAGTAATGTTAAGAAAGGAGGCTTTGACAACCATGCCAGGACTCGGCTTATTCTGGCTAGTGTTCTGTGTTTGATGTTTATGATCGGAGAGAGATGGTTGGTGGCCTGCTGGTCCATAGTTTAGCCATCATATCTGATGCAGCTCATTTGCTGACTGACTTTGCCATTTTTATGATCAGCCTGTTGGCCTTGTATTTAGCTCACCGACCTGCCACCAAGACGCTGAGTTTTGGCTGGTACAGAATAGAAATACTGGGAGCCTTTGTCTTCATTCTCATGTTGTGGGTCCTAACTGGTATACTGGTGTACTCTGCTGTGCTGCGCATTATGGATGATAACTTTGAGATAGATGCCAGCGTGATGTTGTTAACTGTTGGCACTGAAGTTGCATTCAATGTAGTACTAGAAATGACACTACACCAGCATGCGCATAGTCATGGAGGAGGTCACGGACATTCCCATGGAGGTCACGGACATTCCCACGGAGGTTCGGATCATTCCCACCAGAAACAGAAAAAAACAGGTCCTATCCACATCTGCTGTCCACAGCTACGGGAGCTTCCACTATGTGAAGGCAGGGGAACGAACTAAAATCTCATGATGGGGAACAGGGGGAAGGTCATGGGCATGCCCATGAGCAATTGATATCTTAACATCAATGTTAAGGCTGCATTTATTCATGTTCTTGGTGACCTGTTTCAGACCGTGGGTGTGTTGGTTGCTGCTTTCATTATCTATTATAAACCTGAGTGGAAGATAGTTGACCCTATTTGTACATTCCTGTTTTCCCTGTTTGTGCTGATAACAACAATCACAATTATAAGGGACATTTTGGTGCTTCTTATGGAAGGAACTCCAAGGGGTAATAATTTTTCTGAAGTGAGGAACTCGTTTTTTTTTTTAATCGATGGAGTACTGGACATTCATAATCTCAGGGCCCGTTTTTCAGCTTCCACATTTTGTTGAGCTTTTTAGTCAAATTTCTCTGAAATTCTTTGATTTTCCAAAGCAAGTCCATGGAGTCTGACGCTATTACTGCATGCATAACTGCATATGCTAGCCTCTGGAAACGGTGGTTATCTCCATGGTCATTGTGTTTATTCTGATGACTTCGTGTCCTGAGAGAAATCTATACCCATCCCCGAGGTCTTCCGCATGGCATTGTTGTTGGAAAGGTCGTGTTGTTGATAACTCAAGAGAACCGGAAGTTTAGCCAAGTTCTTTTTCTTACAGACAGGGTTGCCATATTGGCATTTTTTATGCCAGATTCCACAAATCTGGCATATTTGAAATTGAACTGGCATAATAAAACGAACTGGCATATTCTGGCATATTTGGGTTTTTCCTGGCATTTTTTATCAAGATGTGCTCACATTTTCTTCATGGTTCCTCCGTTAGAAACACGCAAATTTACTAAAAGCAATGTTGAAATCTTTATTTCAGTTTGTCTTTGTTGTGATGTCCTGGTACGGACTAACGGAGATTCGCGCAATTTTTTATTGTTTTGTTGTCTTCCTGAACGGATCGTGACTGCTATATACCTCTGTAATTTATGGTAATTTACTAGAAAAAATGCAAGATATAAAACGAAAACCCACCGCTTTAAACATGGTCGGGTGCAAGAACTCTGTATGGTCCAGAATTAAAGATGTGTCTCCTATTTGTGTACAGTTCAGATGTGTCTGCCATTCACTAGCACTCTGCATTTGTAGTACAATTGCCAAGCTGCTATCAAATATTGGTTTCTTACTGTCAGAAATACCTCAGTGGTTGCGCCATAGTGATTTAAGATGAGAAGCCTATAAAGAACTGTTTAGAGTGATGAACACATCTACGGAGTTTGAATCAGAACGAACTGCTCCTCTTCCATTTGAGAAACTGTCATCTACTAGGTGGATTATGCGTGGAAAGATTATGTTCAATATGTTGGTGAACTAGGAAGAATTGAAAGCTTATTTCACATGTGCTGAATTAGCACAGACAACGTTTGACACAAAATATAAAGTAAGATTATTAAAGGAAATGCTGTTATACCATAATAATTATTTGTACTTTGTGTTTGCGACACCAATTGTACAAGAATTTGAAAGACTGAACAGTCTTTTTCAACAAACAAAAGCTGATCCTCATGAACTACACCAAGAATGGTTCATGCACCAGAGAAGTCTTAAGAACGGACTGTATGACGTCAATGAGCAGAGAAAAAATATTCATCACGTTGACTTTGGTATTAAATTCCTAACGGAATGTAATGCGTTCCTACAGAAGAATAACAGGACTGAAGCTCAGATAGAAATAAACAATGTTAATGAAAGATGTATGTCTGTGCTAGAGGAAGCTCTCAATCAAATTTCGTGTAGACTTCCCACCGAGAATATATTTCAAAATCTGTCAAAATTGAGCCCTTTTGGCAGTTTTAAATCAAATATCAAGGACACAGTTTTCAGAGCTACCATTTTTACACCTGGCAGAAAACAACATCAGTATTATAGAAGAACGGTACAGAAAACTGATTGTTGTCAACTGGAAAGAAGAAGCTACATTTAAGAAGGATGGACTACCTACAAACGGAAGATTTTTGGCTAGGCGTACTTCGACACCAGGCATTTAAAGAGTCGGCCACTTTCACCCTTACTTGCCTAATAATGCCCGTTAGCAATGCTGTAGTTGAGAGAATATTTTCTCTTGTTATTTCAACTAAATCAAAAGCAAGAAACAAAATACAACTGGATTTTCTTGATGCAGTTGTCAGAATTAGAGCAGAACTATTGACATCAAAGAAATGTTGCAAAGACTTTATTCCATCTGAGAAAATGCTTAAAGATTTTACATCCGAAAAGGTTTATGCTGCATCTTCCACTGGTTCCAGTAAGGATGACAGTGAAGAATTCAATCTAGAGCTTTTGATGTGATGTGAGTGCAATGTTACACTTTATTTGGCAATTTTCTGGCATATTTTGGGTGATGGTTTG